TAGAGGACAGAAAGCCAGTCTATTGGGGCTCCCTGAGACACCAGTAGATACGCTATACCCGAAATTAATGGTTCTTGTATCAGTAACATTGAGAAAGAAATAAGGAATAAGGTTAGGTTTCTTCTTCACATCCTCCATTTTTATGACAGTACAGAAGACAGGAAAACGTAAACAACGAATGGAAGAGATACGTAAATAAGAGTATATTACTAAAGTGAATCTTAAAACAAATAGGATTTGACGATATTGACAGAATTAATCTGGTTCAGGATATGAACAAGTGATGGATTAATGAGAACACAGTAATAAACTTGGGGTTCCATAAAAGGCACGGAATTTCATGACCTGTTAAACAACTATGGGGAGGCGAAGGCACTACAAAAGGGCTGTAATGCCACGGAGTAGTAGTTAAACAACGAGCTTCTCAACAAGGACTCTGTTTCATGTAAGGTGACCAGGTACTATTTTTAAGACGTAATGCTAAACCTGATTAAACATGGCCGCTACATTATCGCAACGAAGAAACGACGTGTAGCGTGTTGTAAACTCCAATATCCGGCTTGTTAATCCCCAAACAACTAATTTCATTCAGTAGCGTAAACGAAATGTCAGTTTGTTCCACGCACCACCCACTGGCTCCAAGTCAAGCAGAAGGAAGTGTGTGCTTTTAGGTGTATTACCAACAGCCATTACAGCTTATTTCCTCCCCCACATATTTTCCACTTTCCCCTCTCTGGGTTCCGACATGGAAACGGTGCACCATGGTTTATTTCCACTACTGTGCTTGTGTGTTCCGTGCCAGAGGGTAACAAACGTCTAAGTCTCACTTGTACAAAGGCTGTAATTGAACAGATAATACCTCTTAAACAGACACTTTACCTTTTCAAACCCAGCCATATGCTTTCTACATTTCTGAGTTATCAAATTTGATACCTAAAATGAATGCATTGTAACAACTACGACATTGAATATTCCTGTCTTCTGGATTGTTGCGCTGTGTAGTCTGGTCAATGTTTACCAACGTTTCAGAGGTCATACTGATGACGGAGGCAGTATGACCTCTGAAACGTTGGTAAACATCTACCAGACTACACAGTGCAACAACCCAGTAGACAGAAATCTTCATATTCACCGCTGTGAAAACCTCAAATCTTACAACTACGAAATTCTGAAATAATAACAATTTCTCTCTTATATTCGGGTTAAAATCTAAAGATGCATATCAATTCACAGAATTCATTAGACTAAAATTAAAGTTACTGGCTTTCCCAGAAATTTCATCCCGTGGCTTCTGATACACTCCTGTCGATTTCCGTTAACTATTCTCACGAAACAATTTTTTTTTAAACTACACTACGAAGATGGCCGTCTTCAAGGATGTTGCGCCGTGTATGTAGTCTGGCAAACGTTTACCTATGTTTCAGAGGTGCATACTGCCTCCATCATCAGGGCGATCCCCTGCGGCAATCTTAATGCTTGCTGCAGTGAGAAGCCAAAATCTCACTAAGAAAATGCCGTGGTTTATTCCTCAAAGAACATAAAGCGATTGTTACACCGTTCTTCCAAAACCGAGATGGCATTATATGCCAGTGAGCTATATTTGTGAGTCCCCCGAGAAGGGAGACTGCTGTAGGGGCAATGCCATCGGTACCACGGCGTTCGTCCTGGGCGGAGTGTGGGTGTCCGTTGTATACTCCACGAGCTCTTTCGGAGTAGCACGTAGGAGTCGACGACGGTGATGACGTAGGAGGAGGGGCGGAGGCGCCACGACGCAAACAAGTCACGTGGATATCCTTATTGATCCGTTCTTCCCCCGTCTGCTGTACACTAGGTTCCCAATTAAAACTCTTGCCCACGCAGCGGGAACTGCAGGTATTGGATCGGTCGAGATGGTGGGAATTATGAATCACACGAGAACGCACAGAATTTTCTACTTTCACAGGAACATTAAAGGTAAAGTAAATACATCCAGAAGTGAAGATATATTTGTTTAGTAACAATGTCAGACACGACAAATTTCAATGTTTTTAAACAGTCCACTGGAGTGTTTACTCATGAACCTCGGACTGAAGAGACTGACTTAAGAAATTTTCAAGGAAAAATAACAAGTAACTTACTCGCAAATATAAGAGCAGTTAATAAATGTGTCAGTCACCGGAAGATGGGAGTACAAACAACTTTGGGGAAGTTGCAGACAATGATAAAAATTCAACATAACTGGTGTAACAACGATTAAACTTTAACGGAGTGTGAACCCGTATACTTGTCGGCTAGACAGATGTCTATTCTAACTGGCAGTTTCCAGCACATTCAAATTCAAATGTTGACGTTAATGAGCTAACATCAGGGCTGATCAACTCAGAGGTGGACACGGACCCAAAGTGACCCTGAGTGAAACTAAAAATGCAGTAATGTTAATGGTTTGTAACCACACACAAAAACGAGAAGTCTGGGTCATGCCCGATCTGACATTTTGATTCCAGATTCTTTACAGTATTTGTTTGTAGGCGTGTTAGGTGCCTCAGTATACCATATGCAAAACCTTCTATGATTTACAAGGGCGGAGCGTTCAGATAATATACTTGCACCGAACGTAACAGTGTATCCGTTCCCATTGCGACAGACAGGTTGGGCGGTGTTCTTTGCTGAAGTTAGAATGTGAAAAGCTAGTGGGCTAAGGAGTTCTATAAGCTAAGAAATTTATTGCAAGCCAGAAAAAATAATTGCAGAATGCGTAACACCGCCTCCAACAGGTGAAGCAAAGAGCCCCCGAGGATAGCGGCGCGAAGTTCTCTGGAGAATTAATCTGCATTAAAACGTCAAGAGTGTGGGGAACATATGCAGATTTGGCTGTTGTCATTAATTTCAGACGGATGTTACAATATGATCGTCTAGAGGTTCTAATCATGCAATGTTCAAAGATCTCAAATTTCAATAAGCCAGGTTTGATTCTCGCTCGGCATAGTCAGATGTAAGTACAATGTGTCTGAGTCTGTCCCGTTGTCCTGAGGTATCTTACTTTCAGATACAAATCATCTAAGCCCTTTGAAGTGGTAACACATAATAGACCTGCGACGGTCCTGTCCTAGACAATTTGATGTGTCAAACAAGAAGCAATAGATGCCTACACAAACAGGAAGGAAGAGTGTGAAAGTAAAAGTTGAACTTACGCTTATGCACCACGTTACGTGAGCGGAGGTAAAGCCCCACACATTCTTAACTTGGGCATTGATGGAGGTGAGTGGTTAGTCCCAAGACCCGGTCGCTTTATTTCAGGTGTAACAGCGCTCGCAGCAGAAACGGAAAGAAAAATCTTTGGCCTGCAGGGAATCGAACTCCTATCGTTTAGACGACATTCAAAGTTAGCCATCCCGGTCACAATAAAGACAAAGAGTGAATACTGACAATACTTTTAATTTTCAGTGATTGACAGTCAACGACTGATACTTCGGTGTATTTAAATTGCAATGCAGATGACCATGTGGACGATCGCGAAGTGTTGGAACAAAGAAACGAAACTATTTTAAAGTCCTGCACCTGTCAGTGACGTCAGCTGAACAGGCGGTCGCGTGCCATAGCAGGGCAGGTGCAGAGGAACGAGTTGCCTGCTACCGGTAACCTCAACGGTCGAAAATCTAATTTATCAGTCGCATTTTTCATTTCGTCATCGTAAGTAGGAACCTGAGAAGTGCCTCCGGCTTGTGAAAAGGCCAGGTTTATTTCAACACCTCAAATCCCTTAACTGCATTATCAGTTGGAAATCATTCTTCCGAAGGTGAGATTTAAGGTACTTACAGCGACGAGTGTGAATATGGCTGTCTTCTGGGATGTTTCGCTGTGTAGTCTTTTATAAATCAACCGACGTTTCGGAGGTACTTACTGCCTCCATCATCAGAGCGATGTAAAACATTTATATGGAGAGTGTATAAATTACAAGTTGCACGATATATACTCATAAAACTGTGGTCCTGGTGCAAACCCTGTCTCTTGAGATTACGTCTTGGCTACACCTGCCGTTTTTATATGAAATTATTCTCAAAAATATGCATGATCTCGCCAGAACAATCACAACGCCCTCGGATTCAATTTGTATGGAAACCTATGAATGGCATTTCCGTGGGTTGAATTCAGGGTTGGCAGTAATTTTCACTCTTTATTCTCGAACAGACAGGTGGGCGTTCGACGCACGCAATGTCCCCCTCCCTTCTGTCGCACTCTACTCTGCGAACTTTTCTTTCCTGGTGGAAAGCATCCTTTATCCGCGTCCCTACATCCCCATAAAACACCAACGCTTGTCATGATGGTACAGTTGGCAGTGTATTGTTACAGACCTTTGTGATTTTGACAAGGGGAATACCAAGCTGTGTGAGGTTGTGGAACAGGCCTACAATTAGCGTATTTTACTTTGACTCGGATTTTGTGGAACTGAAGAATTTGAGTGAGCTTTGTAATGATAATCATATGTTTTAGTCCCCAGTTCAGTTTAAGTGCGGAGAAGAGACAATTAGCCAACCACAGGCTGTAGTTATCGCAATATTTCCCTAAGCTTACGTCATCCATCAGTTGGTTTTGCTTCGCTCATACGCTTGTTTACTGACTCGTTGCCTTTGAAAAACAATGAAGTTGCTAGAACTTACTTCAAAATCGTGGCGATGGAGAAGTGCCAAGTCGTATAACTAGAAGGGCATAAAACTAGAACGAACAGCTGAGACGGTTTCCTGATCCTTCGTTTTCAAAAGGCTAATGGTCAGGGCGCTGAAATCGACCGGAGATCGGCCAACATAGTCCCGGGTCCCATAAACACGATTTAGTGTTCTAGCAGAATGCAAGTAGTATGGGCAAGTGAACGCTGGACGAACTTGGTTAACGCTTTCAGAAGGGACAAGTCTGTGTTTCGCAGCTTCACGTATCTCGTAAACACGTCTTCTTTACGTCCTAATAACCCTCGTTGCCATGACCTACATCGCAGTGGTGGTTACTGCAGTTCTAGCGTTGACACCACTAATCTCCACGCCACGTGGCTGTAGTAAGTCGTGCCACACGGTCTTCTGATCCACGAATTCTTCTCTTCAGGACCACGTACAGGTAGACTTTCCACTGGTGTAAAGCGACCGAAACGTGAAGCTCAAATATCACTTCCATCTAATGACGAGTTTAAAAATTCATGGAGGTCTAAACCCACTTCCCCATATACATCTTCCTGTCACAATGCTTAGGGACGTTGATGACCTAAAGGTTTATATCGTGAACGACAGCCCATAAAAAATCACGACTTTTCTCACAAAAGGGTTAATTCATAATCGAAGAGTGACGCACATTTGAAGAACAGCACTGGCTGCAAAGAGGCACACTGCGAGGAGTTCATCGTGTTTTAAAAAATGACCTTCATACCTAGTGCCATTGGCAATACACGCCGTTAAAATCTCTGACCGAGGCCATACAAGGATCTGCTATATTACCGATAAATATTAAAATTCAAGGTGTCGTCAAAACAGGGGGAAAAAATCTTACAATAACGGTCCTTCATCGTCATTGTAATATTATTGCCAGCAGCTACCATAAAACTCGAATGAGCCGGGATAACTCGGTCAGCATAGTGACTATCTACGGGCTGGACGACCGGGGTTCGATCCCCGACGGGGGCAGAGGATTTTTCCTCTAGCCTCCGCGTCCAGACTGGCTCTGGGGCCCACCCAGCCTCCTCTACAATGGGTACCGGGGTCCTTTCCCGGGGGTAAAGCCGGCCGGGGCGTGATGCTGACCACTCACCCACATCTAGTGCCGAGGTCAAGGAAGAGAGGAGCTATACCTCCACTCACCCCAAACGCCTGTATGGCGTATAGTGGGACAAAATTTACTTTTTTACCATAAAACTCGAGGTACAGCTGGGTTAAACGTATTAGAGAAATGTGAAGCAAACGATCTAGGTTTTTGACCACAAACAGACAGCACATAAGAATGCGTTGTAGCTCCAGAATAAAACATGTTACATTGAAGTTTCGTTGGATACCAGCACGGAATAACATTGCACTGGAAGAGTCTGAGAATAGGCGCTGAATACATATTTGGGTATAAGGAAGAAGAAATAACTTGTATTCTTCGCCACCATCATTAGAATGATTAAATCGGAAGACGTAGGCGTATATGGAATAACACAAAACGAATCTTAAAGATATACGATGGGTCGCTGTGGGGTGGATCGGACGCGGTATCTTGTTAATACTGTGAAGAACCTTGGGTTTCCGTAAAAAGCGGAGATTTCTTTCCAGGACTTTGGTCCATGAATTTATCCGTAGACAACGATAAAATTGTGCAGGTAGAGGACAGCACTAAAATACGACTTATAGAAGCAGCATGTGAGAATGCAGATTTGATTTTATTTATATTCTAGGTGTTTCTTAAAACGCAAAAAACGATGTACTCCAAATCGCTGCCATGTTCATGCATTGCAACACTGAAAGAAATATTTAGCATTCAGGATCGTACAGAACTTACTGTTCATTCCTCTACACCGGTGTGGGTGGTGTTTTGTTGTTACTGTTGACATATTCACCTACTTGGGTAACCCAGGGAAACGGATTGTGTAGTCCTTGCATTGATTTTAGACACAACGCAATTCCATGTATGTACACCATTAAGCAGAAGATAAATAACGCTCTCATTACGTCAAAGTACTAGGACAATGAGCGTGCGCACTTCGCACTTTGTAAAACTCAAATTGCTGTCAAAAGATGGCACTGGTAGCGCCATACTCAGCCGTGTTGTACCAAGGATACGCTGGCACACAAGAAGTATCTACGTAACAGTGACGTCAGTTATGTGTCATGCTGTAGAAACCAAACATATTTGACGCAATTTCTGTGACATTCAGACGCTTAACATGCGCAAAAAAGAGAAATATCAGTTCAGCAGATAATCACGTGAAAGGAAGCTGTCCACAACCAAGGAAATTTTCTACGAAGTATGTATCGAAATGATATGTTCCAATGTTCGTGCCTGACAAGAAGTTTAAATGAAAGACAGTAATTTAGTTTCATTATTATGTTTCTAGCCTCCAGCCAACTTTGTGAACAATACGACAGCTTGGAAATGACATTCGTTCACAGAAAATAGTGGCTAGCTGATTATCTGAAACAGACCTAACATTTTGGCGCGATCGTAAAATTGACATAAAATAATGAACCTATCAAGAAAAGATGGCAGAGTAGGTGGCGGTTATGAAAAACAGAAAATTGCGCAGACATGTCTGCCATATGCAAGTCGAAATTTACCTTATATGTAAATTAGTGTTTCTAAGTGTACAATTAAATCACCAAGGGTATTAAAATTTAAATTATGGTTAACATGATCTTCAAGCCATCATGAACACATTCTTTATTCTGAAGCAACAACATGTGATTTTTCATTGTCTAGAATTACGTATTGAGGAGGCTAGGGCTCGATTTTGGGCTGTTACGCCATAGTAGTAGTAGTAGTAGAATTACGTATTACAAAAATTAAGTTAAGAATTTGTAGCTTAGATGCGTCATGTTTGTGTTGAACTAAGTATGTATTTATTATTCCAGTCTATACACAAACTTAATTTAAAAATGTAGCGCTTTTCATCGTATTACGATGACAGTCATTGATTGTCATCACCCGATAGCAGATGTAAGACACACCACACATCACAAATATGAAAATGAACATCTGACCATAGACATGCAGAACATTACGAAGACTGAAAAACCTACAAAAGAAAATCTACAAAACAAATCAATACGTCAATAAATGGTTGCATTAAAATATATAATAGTTTTAAAGATATAAATAACGATAAAAACCTGAAGATGATGCAATAATAGCATCGAAACATGTCGTTAATAATAAGCGCCGAATAAATGTAACATCGTAATACGATGAAAAGCGCTATAATTTTAACAACAACATTTTTAAATTAAGTTTGTGTATAGACTGGAATAATAAATACATACTAAGTTAAGAATGTATCCACGAGGACCTGCAGATGATCTTTAGTGGTTGAAATATGGTTATTACTGTTATTATCATTATTCGATGAGATCTGGGGTTCAAATTCCGAATACCTGAATCGATTGTCTTGTGTCTTTTTTTAGTTTATCTGTGATAGTACCTTAAATAGGTCACGACAACGTCCTTCCAAGCCTCCATCGTTCAGAATCATCCTCACAGCGCCCATTCGACATTAAAAACTTGTGCAGTGAAAAAACGAAAGAGGTTCAAACTCAATATAGCATGAATTTCACATCCTGTGCATCACCTTCAACTATTTAGCTATATTCGTGGTCGGTGAAAAATGTATTACGTAAAAATACAACGCTTTAGGTTTCTTACGTAGGGTCGTACTCAGGGATTCGTCCCACAGAACACAGTTAAGACTGAAGGACAGACTTCTGCTTATGTGCCAAGGTTTCCAATTACTGATTACACACTAAACTATTTTGAAGACAAGCAGTTTTAATCTCATAACCTAGAGGAAAATTCCATGGGCTCTTATCAGACTTGACGAGGTGAGTGAGAATTTGCATTTTATTGGGCCACACTGTGCAAGCCACGCCATGCACCCGAGCTATTGGAAGCTTCTTTTTTGTGAAATGGCTGAAGTAGCACAAGGCGACAGGTTGTCGACTGGGTGATGTGGAGAGGGGACACGCGGAGCGAGTTTCTGCTGTAGTTTCCACGATTACCGCGGTACTGCAGGAGTCCGGATAAGAATACAACCCGGAGGCCCTGAAGAATTACGTATTTTTATCCATATTCAAACTAAGATAATGCAAAAAAATTCTTTCCATTAAAATTAAATATCTCTACAGTCATACAAAAATTATATGCAATGATGGAATAAGATAAATACTTTGTATCTGAAACTTTCAGCGTTTTATGAACCTGCAAATGATTTTTTCAGATCTTTACTTTCGTCACTGACGCACGTTTGCCTCAGAAAGGTGTATTTTAATATAGTAACTACTTCCCATTCATAGCTAAAAGTACAGAGTGATTCAAAAGTCCCCGTACATCTGCAAGACAAGTTTTAAAAACGAGAATCGACTAACACGCGCACACACGCCTTAGGTGGAGTACGTGACTTGCGTCACGTGACTGATGACCTTGAACAGTATCTAGTAACTTGTGACAGTAAGTTCACCACGAGTAAAATATTCGTGCACGGGGATTTCTGAATCATCCCGCATAACCTTAACATGTTTATTTTGGTGACAATACGACTTTTATAAAAATAATTATCGCTCTCAATTTCGGTTCCGTTACCTACCCTTCCAGTGCAGTGGTTCCGAAAATGTAGGAGTATCGTTTGACGGGTCCCTTTCATCACAAATGAGAATCGCCTCCTCTCCAATGGGAAGAGAAAACTATTTCGCAGGCGATAAATTAACCGAATCATAAAGCTCGTCTCCTCTCACCTTCAACTAATGCGGAGGTGATGAATGCGTAAAATTTAACCTTCACTCCCCATACATCTTCATTCCATATTAGCTTAAGGACAACATTAAGTATGAACGAAGATTAAATGTAGACGGTGTGCCTTCATATTAACAAAAAGGGCATAGAATTATACAAGCAAAATTGTACCTTCGGAACTGTGAAACAGTTCCAGAAGGCGTCCCGCGACAGTGGCCTGCCTGAAGACAGAGAAAGCTGCTCTGGTCACAGCGTTAACGGAGGAGAACGACCTGTTGCCAACAGTCTGTTGTTACACAAATTAAATTAAACTCATCCCTGCTCAGACGAGTGCAGAGAACTCTCATTTGCTGTTCTTCTACGTACTTCAGGAAGACATCAGACGCGGAGAAGCAGGAGAAAGTGTACCATTGTCTTTCTTTTTTGTTTATCTATAAGCGTAAAGTTTCAAAAGTTTAAAATGTACCACGCTGCAGGCAACGTTTCATTTCACCTAGACAAAAACTGCAGCAATAAACACGCATACTGCAGGAGTCATTAACCTGCCTGTATACACACAAGAGCTCGCCATGCATTGCAGTCTGAACGCGAGTTGCAAATTTCGATCATCGCAGGTCGGAACAAGGCTCGTCTTCTGATTTGTTGCGCCGTGAAGTCTGGAATAAAGTTTACCGAAGTTCCAGTGGTGCTTGCTGCTTCCACCATCAGGGCGATGAGTACCCAGAAGACATATTCTTATGTTAGATTTTAGGTTCTCACGGCAGCGAGTATGAAAACGGGTGTCTGATGGGTCGTTGCGCCGTGTAGCCTGGAAGATATTTACCGAGGAACTTCTACCAAACGTCGTAACAACCCAGAAAACAGCCATTTTCATTCTCACTGCTGTGAGAACCAGAAATATCACCTGTTTTACTTTCAGTCTTTATTTCTTCATGCCTTCTTTTATTTCCCAGTAACCCAATTAAGTATTTCGCACACATTTTGTCGACAGTTGGCCTTAATTCTGCCTCAGACAAAATTCAGCAAACAAAATACGGGAAACAGTTCTGCAAACAATAAATAAGAATTCAACAGCCACTTGTCCGTTAAATTGTTCTTTATCTCTATTTCTCGGTTTAATTTATCATTAGCTTTCAATATTCTTGGTACAAAAATGTTTTCAATTTAATACAGATTTCGTATTAAATAGGTTTTACTGGGCCTTAAAATTAATTTTTACGTTTTTAATAAGTCTGCAGAATTTATATTTACTTGGAAACTGGGCACATCTGTCGCATTGTTTTAGGAACGGAACGAAAACAGAAAAGACTGTTTTAAGGTCGTGTCGAGCCAGTGACCTGGAGTGTAAGAAAACTGCAGCAAAGGCGGCAAGCAGCGAACAAGCTTTCGGATTGTGGACTGCGATTTAATTGGTCCAGTAACAGGTCAGCGCTTATGGTGTCGATAATAGACGACGAAGATGGTCGTTATGAATTTTATGGTTTACTTTAAGAACATCACACTCTATCGACTTATGGTTATCAGTAGGGTTCGGATGTTCATGACCTAAAAAACCGAGAAATATGCATGCAAATATGCATGCAAATATGCCCCCAAAAATAGCGAAATATGACCCAAAAAAAGGCTAAATATGACCTAATTTGTTATAAAAAAATATTCGCTAAAATTTAAAAACAAGCGTTTTGTATTTCACCCATGTTATTTATTTATATATGCATGTACAACTATTACCTAGTTATTAGTTTCTGCAAATATTAATGGTTAGAACTCTAAAGGCAAAGGTCTGACTGTCGTCTGAAGTAATATATCAGAACAGTGATCAAGTTGGCATTATGATACGTTTTCTGTCTGACGTAGCCTTTTAACGGCACTATAGAAACTCAGAGACCACACTACGTCAAAGTATGATGATGATAATGAAGAGAAAGTCTGAATCCCAAAAGAATGCGGCCATGACATATCTCACTGAAATGTGCACTAATAACTACATAGAGCTAAACATCATTTCCAGTCCGCTCCTGCATCAGCTAGTACCTGACACAATTTACACACGGAAAACTTTACTGTAGGATTTTAAAGTCAATAGCATGTGTGGCTCTTGTACGCAAAGCAACAGACGACATAAGAATCACGAAATTTTGTTAAAATCCTTCGGACTAAAGGAGATTAATGAGCTTGTAACAAGTTAACAATTAATTTTGAGGGCGGCCAATTTGACCAAGCTGGCCGAGAGTTCGCACAGTGGAAGATGATTAACACTCAGCAAGTTCGGAAGGAAATTACCATAGGTTGTTCGACGGTGCTGTGGTAACATGCGCTTGAAGAGATGCTGAAGTTCAGAAAATGCGTGTTATTTGCAAGTCCTGTAGATGTCATTATCACCAACGAAATACGTCATCAGATTCTGCATTTGAATAACAAGGGAGCGAGAGTACGTGTCTTCTTAGAGAGTCAATAATAAGAATAAATACGAGGGGAATCTAGTTCGAAGGTAAAGCAATTTTCTTGCGTTAGGAAGGGTTTGGGCTTTAATCTAAAAATTTCCAACAATTTTGTTAGAACGTAATGTGGCTATATTTACTGAAAATTTGCGTTAAAGGTTGTTTATGATATTTGTTGATAATATTTTACTGGTATATAAAAAAACATGACACCGTCTTTAAACGGAAGGATCTAACAGGCTTTGGTATAAAAATTATTCCAGGGGGGAAAGAACAGAAACAGTTTCTGGAAGTCACAATCCGGAAACAGAAAGCGAACGTCTGTGCCTCATTCGTATTCCTATCAGCTTGGCGTGTGGGTGACGACACAGTTCTAGGCAACTGATAGCAATTCTAACAGTAATACAAAGCGTACTTAAACTACTATGGAGAACTGAAACCTCATCGACTATTGCAAGCCACTGATACTATT